GCCAGCAGCACTTGTCAGAAGATCTGGACTTGGGTTCTGGTTCCATCACCATGACCTTGAGCAAGTCACTTAACCCCAAGAAGTCTGGTTTTCTCATTTGCAAAATAGAAGTGATAACATCTGCCCTCCCAGGCCCTGGAATACCAGCATCTCTTAAAGAGATACTGCCCCAGGTGCCTGGCTTCCAGCCACAGTCAGCTGGGAACATACCAGCTGGAACAGGTGCTGGTATAAGGAGGTTAAGAGAGGTGCTGTGAAGGACGGCCCACCATCCCTCCTGGGGCTCGGCACCCTTCTGAGGGCCATCAGAGCAAGCCAGCCCTGAAGAGGGAGGAAGACTCCAAATCAGAGAGCTTTCTCCAAATAATACTTGGGGAGTTCACACTTCGCTCTCCCAACCCTGACTGAGACTCAGAATCCATCCATACAGCAAGGAGAAGGAGTCAGGCTGTTCTGTTCCAACCCATCTTTCAACCCAGTCGAGGGATCTGGAACAGTTTTTCAGGCGATCCCCAAGCAGAGACCAGAAGCCCTGAATTTGTGCTTCTTGCCTGCTGGAATCCTTTCTGGATGAGCTTCTTCTCTGATGCCTCCTGGGCATCCAGGGCCTGTAAACAGGCCACTTTAGACCTCCCCTCCCAGGCCTCCTCTCAAAATGAAATTTCTGATCTGGTTTGGCCAGCTCTTTTTTGAAAAACTCTAGATCTTGGGGCGCCTGGGAGGCTCAGTCGGTTAAGCGTCCGACTTCGGTTCAGGTCGTGATCTCGCGGTCCGTGAGTTCGAGCCCCGTGTCAGGCTCTGTGCTGACAGCTCAGAGCCTGGAGCCTGCTTCGGATTCTGTGTCTCCCTCTCTCTCTCTGTTCCTCCCCCTTTCGTGCTCTGTCTCTCTCTGTCTCAAAAATAAATAAACATTTAAAAAAAATAAAAAATAAAATAAATAAAAATAAATTAAAAACTCTAGATCTCATCCATGGCATCTCCTTTTCCACTAATACGAGGTTAAACACTTTAGACTATACACTCTGTGGCCTTGGGACTTCTTCAGACAGTAAGTAATGATCCCTGGTGCATGCAGCCAGGATTCAAAGTGTCACCTCGGACAAGGACCATCAGTTTCACTTTCTCTTGGCCCACTTAATCAAGTAGCCTTTCCCTCCAACTGCCAAACTTCTTTGTTCTCATCCTTTAAAATTAAGCCCAAATCTTAACCTCTTCCACCCAGCTCCCAACTTAAGCATAAGAAAGACCCAACTCATAAAGTTGTCCCCTCAACAACCTAGAGCACCGTCCCCCTCTTGTAGCTATGCGGACAGGAAAGTTTCCCCCCTTCTGTATGTATGAGTCACTCAGAGATTCATGTGCTCTTGGTGCTCAGTGGGCAGAGACGGGCCCCAAAACAGAAGAGGCCTCAAATCTAGGACATGAGGTGACTTTAGCAGGAAAAAAACAGGGCAGCCTTCAAGGATCCTCAGGTCATGTATGTCCTTGACCTTCCAAAGGAACCTTCCCAGGCTGGTTACTGAGATAGGTCTGTTTTTTTTTTTTTTTTTTTTTTTTAAGTTTATTTACTTAAGTAATCTCTATACCCAATGTGGGGCTCGAACTCATGACCCTGAGATCAGTAGTCCCAATGTGGGGCTCGAACTCATGACCCTGAGATCAACAGTCGCAGGCTCTTCCAACTGAGCCCTGAGATAGGTCTTTTGATTGCAATAAAGATCATAAACCTGAAATAGGAGTGTCACATAAAACAAGCCAGGTTTTTGGAAACGTTAGAAAGTATGTTGAAAGGGGGAACTGCTGGATGAAAAGATCTAGTGGATGTCAAGAGCCTAAAAGAAGTGTTGGAGAGGAAGTATCCAGGATGGCCCAAAAGAGAGGGTAACTTGAAAGAGAGGGCCGTTTCCTGTTTGACAGGCAGAAAGCAGTGATTCAACAGGCCTGATGAAACACCTCTTAAGGACACCTGACTCTTCGCCCTGATCCTGCACTCATCGAGCAAACTTCTCATTTTAATTATATTTTCCAGCGACTCCGATGCCAGTAAGTTGCCAGAAAACAGCAGGACAAGTGCTAGGATCTGTGTGGCAAGGACACGTCCTGTTATAAATCTCAGCATTCTGCTATGTGTCGCTCTCCTGTGTTTCTGAAGAACATGATCACAAGACGTGCCATTAACCTGACTCTCTAGCTCACAGACCTGAGATGAGGCACAAGGGCCACGATCCACCAGTAAAGAGCAGTAATTCCCACGGGTCAAAGTGGGGACGCCAGGCCTGCTGGGCTGGTTTTAACTCAAAGTTCAGTGTTCTGCGGTACGCTCGGACATGAAATCCGGTGCCGGCAGGACAGGGGGAGGTCATGTTGCTGCCATCAAACAGGACATTTAACCACAAGTCCGTTTACTCAAAGCCAGAGAAGCCATGATCCCTATGAAGCCATCTGCAAAGCCACATATTGAGGAAGCACTGTATATACTCTGCCACAAAAGCACTCGCAGCCATCCCAAGGAGACCTGGTCCGCACAAAAGGCCGTGAGATCAAAATGGATGTCTGTTCCGATCCTGCCCTTCTCCTACCTGTAGCTCAAAAGCCTCTGACTACCTGCTGATTACAGTCAACCCTCTACATGGCATTCAAGGCCCCCACAAGCTGTATAGCGCTTATGTCACGCAGCCCACTCAGCCCACCCACTTGCTATTCCCGAAATATGCCCTTTCCTGCCTCTGTGCCTTTGCTCATGCTGTTCCTTGCTCCTCCCCTTCAACTCCCACCAGCCCAAATCCTATCTATCCTTCCAGTTCATCAGTTATCTCCACCATCAAAGTTTCTCTAGACCTGAACTGTCCAATAGGGTAGCCACTCACTGCATGTGCTATTTAATTAAAATTAGGGGCACCTCGGTGGCTCAGGCGGTTGAGCGTCCGACTTCAGCTCATGATCTCACAGTTCATGGGTTCGAGCCCTGTGTCAGGCTCTATGCTGACCGCTCAGAGCCTGGAACCTGCTTTGGATTCTGTGTCTCCGCCTCTCTCTGCCCCTCCCCTGCTCGCCCTCTGTCTCTGTCTCTGTCTCTTTCTCTCTCAAAAATAAACAAAAACAATGTTTTTAATAAATTAAAAATTAAATAAAAATAAAAGTTCTTTTCCTCAGTTGCACTGGTCACATTCCAAGTGTCCAAGAGCCACCTGTGGCTGCGGCTATTATATTGGACAGCACAGATCTTAGAACATTTTTATCATTTGCATAAAGTTCTGTTGGACAGTGGTACTCTGGCCCCTCCCCCTTACCTTTCCCTACTGAAAAACTGCCCTGCCCCCACTCCGAGGTACTCCCATAGCACCTTGTAATCCTCTTAGCACCTGCCAATATTTGCCCATACTAAGGCGATCGTGCACTCACTCATCTTTCTCCTCCACAAATTAAAAATTCCTAGAGGGCAGAGACTGGACGTTATTCAGCTTCATATGGAAGCAGTGTGGACTCGAGCTTCTTGCACATTGAAGAGGATTTAGATAGTGTTTCCTGAACTGAATTCAACATTGTCTCAGGAGCCTCATCCAGGATCCACTGCCAAAGTTCCCAGTTAGGGACAGATTCTGTCCATAGCAAAATTCTAACAGGTGCTAAGAGGTCCAGGTCTGCCCCCCCCCCCCCACCAGAGGCCGGGAATCTTTGTTTGCCTGTTCCCCTGCAATCCATATGGAGGTTGCAAGCAAATGACCAGGACTGGGCTGCTGGCAGTGAAGCTAAAAATAGCCACGGAGCCAACAGCAAGGAGTTAGCAGGACTTGTTGCTAGGGAGACCAGTCACAGAGAGAGCAACTAAGCAGGGAGAGTGTCAGACCAGCACCTGGAGAGCAGAGGCCATAGTTGCGGGGGGGGGGGGGGGGGGGCTTGAAGTTGACAGGGGTCCAAGGCTCCCACCTAGAGATGTTCAGCCTCCTGGCAGCTCCTACTAATGCTCTAAGTGGGGCAAATGCTCCCCCTGTCCCTCAGTAACCCATCTCCATGGAAACCACCATTACTGGGGTGAAGTACCAGCCCCTGGAAGGGAGGCCTCTGCCTAGAGCTGGTTGTTATGGCAACACCCCCCCCCCTTCCTGTCATTCTCTCTCCCCGGGCTTCTCCTGTGGGGGAAAGGTGGGGGCCTGGTCTTGGCTTAGCCAGCATGACCAGGAAACACCCGCTTCCTGACAAGAGTAACCTGCAAGGGGCTCTTCAGAAGCTCCTGGGAACCCAGAAAGGCCAGTCAGTCCTCAGCACAGGGCAGGCCTTCCTTTTCTTCCCACAAGAGCCCCACAGATCATCCTGCTAGGAGAATCCCCAAATCGGTTGGGTTTAATTGTATTAGGATCACCCAAGGTTTTTAAAAATACAGATTCTTGGGCCCTCTTGTGGAGATCAGCAGGCTTGGGGCAGGGCCCAGGAATCTGCTAAAACCTCCCTAGGTAATTCTGATTCTCGCCAGGTGTGGAAACCACTAAAGGCCCTGGCTGTCCTGGTTACAAACGAGGAAACCGAAACCTGCAGGAACTGAGCCCACCCAAAGGGTCAGAGCCAGTAACGGGAGAGGAAGCGGTCTGGAGCAGGAGGGGTAGGTGGAAGGAGATACGGAGGGAAGCTCCCTCAGTGCAAGCGTCAGAGGGGAGGCCTCAGGGAGGCCGTATGTCCTGGGCCTTTCTCTCCTCCCCTTCAAGCCAGAACATGCAATTGTCCGATACTGGATTGTGATTTAGGACCGAGCCTCTCTCGACAAGCTATCCCCTGTGGCACAAGGCAGAGGTAGCGGGGTTGGGCCGTCTGGTTCCCAGAGTGTACAGAAGGGTGGCGGCCCAGGCAGATGATCTGCGCTGAAAGAAACTATCCTCCTTCGGAAGGAAACCAAAAGGGTCGCCATGGCAACCTGCAGTGCGCTGGCCTGGTTGGGCTCTGTGCCATCCTCCCAAACTTGGGCCCAGGAGAGGTGCAGCAGTATTCAGGCAAATGCCGGAGGGGCAGGGGCGCCCCATCCCCCTCGCCGGTCCCAGAACCCACAGGGAGGCCGGGCTGTGCTCTGGAGCCGACCTCGGAGCCCGCCTGGAACACACCCAGACACCGGAATCCGGGAGCACGGGAGTTCTGAGCACCTGCAGTAGCTGGGCCGGGGGAGGACACTGCGGAGGTGGGGGAGACGGGCCTCCGCCCTTCTGTTACTCAGCCTAATTGTGTGCCCAAGACCCACCGCTCATGGAACCACAGCCCTCATGCAAGACAGCATGCAATTAGCTGGTAAATTATGTGGTAGGGATGCTGTCTCCATGTGCTGAGGGAAGTCAGAGGAGACGGAAATCAGTAAAGGCAGCAACGGGAGGATGACAGAGGGTATGCCAGGAGTGGGCACAGCCTCCCAGCTTTCTCAGACAGGAGCGGCCAGATCTTTAGGGGTGTCTGCAGTTGTATCGACTCCCCGGCAGATAGAGGGGCAGGGGTGTGAGGCACCGGCATGGCGCCTGCCTATCTATGAGAGAGAAGGAGTCCCAGCTCCCCCCCCCCCCCAACCTCCCCTGCGTGCCATCCATGCACTCAGATGCATTCTTCTGAGCCTGGGAGGCACCTCCTGGCCGACCCCTCACCTCATCTCTTCTGCCACATTCCCAGGCAGCCTCCCCTCCTCCCCAGCCCCCTCAATCTCTGCAGTCACTGCTACACCCCCCCAATGCTGTGTGCCTGGGAGCCCCAACTCGCCAGAGCAGCCCTGAGGCTTCTGGAGCTTCAGCTGCTACCTCCTTCCTCACTGCACCCATCTGCCTTCTCCTTCCCTACCGTTCCAGGTCTGCTCCGTAAGGGGAAGGCTTCCCCCACAAAGCCAGCTCCCCGCTGCGAATCAGTTCCCCAGCCCCTAGCCCGGAGCTGTTGGGTGTGCAGGGCTCCACCTGTGAGTGAGTGGAGTGCGGATCCGGGCAGGGAGCAGGGGTGCAGGTGGCAGTGCTGCTGGTCCCCATACCTTACCACGGCAACATCAAGGAGCGGGATGTGAGGTCTCAGACTGAGCAGGGGATCATAGCTGATGCCAAGACCTTTAATAAGTGCCTAGCCTCTTTGGACCCTGATTTCCTAATCAGTCTGACAGGACCACAAATATCTGCTGACTAGTACAGGTAAGATCGAAGGAAGTCAGGAGGGGGGCGCCTGGGTGGCTCAGTCGGTTAAGTGTCCGCTCTTGATTTCGGCTCAGGTCATGATCTCATGGTTCATGAGTTCAAGCCCCGCATCTGGCACTGTGCTGACACTGTAGGGCCTGCCTGGGATTTTCTCTTTCTCTCACTGCCCCTTCCCTGCTCATGCTCTCACGCACACCCTCTCTCTCAAAATAAACTTAAAAAAAAAAAAAAAGGAATTCATGAGGGTGCAACATTTTGAGAGGTGGAAAGAACCCTATGACAGGTTTGCTTGAGGACTTGTCGATGTTCACTTTGCTTTAGAAACCCGACCCTAGAGAGAAGTGTTAATTTTATACCTGGGACAGACGGGTCAAAAGGAACCTGGTAAACCCTAACAGCCAGGGCTGCTCTCCCCTCCCCTCCCCTCCCCTCCCCCACCCCTTCTCCAGGCTCTGGGGGTCAAAGGGAGGGGCTCAGGGACCACATTCAGATTCAGGCATGCAGACCCTCTCAAGTTTCAGAGTCCAAAGAGAAGACCCAGGAGGAGCCCGGCAGACAGGCATTGCAGTAAACTACAGCTGGAAACAGCAGGAACGCCTACCATCTCCATCCCAAAGGGAAAATTTGAATTCCTGTACCAAGTCCTTTCCGGTCTTCTCCCCCCGCCCCACCCATGTTTGGAAACGGTTCCCTAGCTCTGCCTGCCTTAGAGCCCGAACTTCTTTCCTAGTTCAGTATTCCAAGATCAGAGAGTCTCACGCAACAGCTGTACATTAGAATCACCTGGGAGAGCGTTAGCAGCCATGTGGGCCAGGGCCCATCGCTAAGTCCCAAATGTAATAAATCCAGAGGAGGGGCCCAGGCGGTGGTGGTTAAAACAAAACAAGACTCCCAGGTGATCCTAACGTGCACAGAGCACCCCCCCACCCCATGCGGTTGATAGGGCGGTAGGTGAAATGACAAATGCACCTTTTGGGGATCTCTTCTGTGCCAGATTTGCTTTACTTGGAATCATCCAAAGCTTGGTGGTTCTCAAGCTTTCCTAAGCCACAGAATCGTCTGGGGAGCTGGCTAGAAAACCAGCTTTCTCAGGAACCGCCCTAGAGATTGTGCCTCCTTGGGTTCTGAATGGGGCCTGGGAACATGCCTTTTTTGAATGCACAGCCCACATGATTCTGACGTAGTATCACAGCAACCCGCCCTCTAAGACACACTGAATGCTGACGGCATCTTTGTTATGTATAAAGCAAGCCCAACTCAGTTTTTGGTTTTTGTTTGCCCCATAGAGTTGCCCTTGAAACAGCATCTAGATTCAAATATACAGGAGACTAAGCTCTTTCATCCCTATTGGTGTTTAATTCCTCCGAGTTGGAAATGAAAAATTAAATATGTATACTGCTCACCATTTACAGACTAAGGAGGAATAGGGGAAGAGTCATAAGGCATCTATAAGGAGTTGTAATTAAAAAATGGCAGATCTGAAAACTGGTAAAATCACACACACACACACACACACACACACACACACACACACACACACAGGACATGTTTGTCGGGGAGAGGATAAACTGAGAGGTGGAGGACCAGGATGGCCAGATGCTTCACAGAGATTAGAAAGGGCTCCACAGCCTGGTGAAAGAGGGGGCTTTCTTGGTTCTCTAATGGGCTCCAGAACTCCTTCGGATTCCGAAGCCCTCGTAGTAGTCCTGGGCACCAGCTGTTCCCAGAAGCTCCAAGTCCCCACCCCTCCTTATCCTGGTCTCCAACAGGCTGCTCTCCCTGCTTCCGGCTCTTCCCTCCCAGCTCTGCAGCACGTGCCCTCCACGGCAGTGATTCCAGAGTCTGGTTCCGGACCCACCTTCAGAGCTGCCTGCTACACCTCTCCCAGCGCACAGCCACCCTGCCGGCTTCTCAAAACCAGCTTGTCCAACACCGAACTCACCCTCTCCTAAGGGAACATATTTTCATGACCTTGGGGTGGGCAAAGAATTCTTAGAGATACACACACATGCTAACCAATAAAATGGGGGGAAGAAAAGGATAAATTGGACCTTATTAAAATTAAAAGCTCCTGCTCATCACAATACATCCTTAAGAAAATCAAAAGCCCAGACCACCTTCCAGTCCCAAACCCGCTCTTCCTCCAGGATTCTCTAGCTCAGATAATGACCACCACCCCCAGCCCCTAAATACGAGGGCAGTTTCTCCCTGTCCTCCGACGGGAGACAATTCTATCAAGTCTCTCGTGTCCGCCTCTTGTTACCTGGACCCTCGGTCAAAGCCCAGCCGAACGCCCTCCTAACTCGTCCTGCTTCTCGACTCCTCTGCTCTGGACTCCCTTGCCATGCTGCCAGGGTTACCTTCCTAAAAGCCACGGCCACCTCTCTCACACTCCTGCTCTCTGCTGCACAATGAAGCAGTTCCTGACCGTGACAGGAGGGCCTTTGCAGATCTGACCATCTTCCTTTGTAGTCTTCTCTCTCCTAACGCTTCCTCCCCGACTCTCACACCCTAGTTACCAGATCTCTTGCTGTTCCCTGAACAACCCAGAAGCTTCACGGCTCCTTCTCTTTGCCCCCTCAGTGATTCTTTCCTCATTTATCCCTACTAGAATTCCCAAAAGAGGCCTCCACCAGGAAGCTTCCTGGAAATTCCCTGGAAAAGTGCTCTTGCCCTCCACTGTGCTCACCAGACTCTTGGTACCGGGAGCACAGAACAAGCCCCACGCTCTACCTGACACCGAGGTTCACAGTGAACGCTCCAGCCTTCTCCACTAGCCACATGTCCCTGGGACGGGAGCTGTGCCCATGCGTCTCCTCCAGCACCAGTACAGTGCTGTGTGTGTTTGGTAAGAACTGAATTCAAGTCCATTAATTCTTTCATCTAGAGTTATTGGCTCCTTAATAGGGTCACACAGTCCAGCCGGCCACCCCGTGCTTCAACATCCCTGGGGCCTCCAGGACAAATGGTCTGGTCTTTAAAGCAAAGCAGAGAGAACATCACTGTTATATCCTCTCCTTTGTCTGCCTCATAGAAGGTGCTATAAGAACGCTTCTCAAAGTTGGGACTAAATATGCAAGCCATCTGGAGGTGCTCCAGACCCCAAACTCCCGGAGGATTTCTCGGCACCTACCTTAAGATCCCACTCGACGCCCTTCCCCCGCCATCCCTGTCAGGCAGACTGCTGGTTCCAGGGGGAGGGCTGCGTGCTGTCCCTTCTTTGGCAAGCCTTCCCCAAGGTCCTCAGGCTAGTTAGTGCTCCCATGGCCTGTTTGCTCCTAGTCCTCAAATGGCCGTACTGGGTTGCACAAGGTACTCACCTACCTGCCTACGTCTCCCAGGGGAAGGAGGCATCCCAGGCCGGGATTCTGACTTTCCGTGCAATTTGTTTCCGTAGTGTCTAGAAAATGTCGGAATGCAGTAGCTCCGCAGACACATGCGGTGTTATCTTAAAGCTCAGTTAAGGTTCGACGGTTCTTTGAATGAATGAATGAATGAATGAATGAATGAATGAATCAGTGATTAATGAAAAGAAAACTAGCAATCCTGGGCAGATCTAGGTAGAGGGCCACCAAAGCCAGAAGCTGGAATGTGAATTCCCAAGCTAAGGAAATGCCCTAGGAAGATGTGTCACCTGGCGGGGGTGGAGGGGTGTACTTTGCAACATGGCCTTTTTTGTTATGAACTCAAGCCTCTCCCTAGCCTGGGCCCTGAAGATGAGCACCAAGTCAAGAGTAGTGAAGAGGAAAGGAAAACTAGGTTCTAGCACCAAACACGTAAATATTACGAAAGTCTTTATTAAGAATCCTTGTCGGGATACTTTATATATGTGTTTCTAGAAGAGGCGTGTATGTAAGGTCTGAGAACGCGCTCAGATATTTAATTTAGAATTCATGTACAAGGTAGTACAGGAGACATGCTACAGGTCATGACTCGAGCCCTCCTCCCCACAAATTATAAACTTTTAGAATCTCTGGGGTCAGCTGAGTCTATTTCTGTCACATTACAAATGAGGAAACTGAAGTGCAGAGAGGAGAAAGATCTTCTCAAATAGATCAGGGGCAGAGGCTGAGCCCGGAAACCAAGCCTCCTGAATCCCAAGCCTCGTGAATCTCATTCCAACATTGTTTTAATCCAAATCTCACAATGTCAAAGGTACCTTCATGAGAAAACAGCGATTCAAGGAGGGGCTCAGGACCAAGTGAGTGGAGCGGGGGCGGGGGCAGTCCCGAGGGCCTAAAGGACCCAAACCTGGCTCAGGCAGCCCAGGAGGTGGGGAGTGGAGGCGGCAGCTGGGGCAGGGGGTGGGGGGTAGGGCTGGGCCAACTCTATCCTATCTCTCTCTTTTTTTTAAATGTGGTATGATTCTTTTCCTTTTTTCTTTTTTTTAAAGCTTATTGTTTTGAGAGAGGGAGAGAGAGACAGAACAAGTGGGGGAGGGGCAGAGAGAGAGGGAGAGAGAGAGTATCCCAAGCAGGCTCCGCCCTGTCAGCACAGAGCCCAGCGCAGGGCTGGAACTCACAAACTTTGAGATCATGGCCTGAGCAGAAGTCAGACTTTTAACCAACTGAGCCACTAAGGCGCCCCCACTATCCCTCTCTTTTAACCCCATACTTTAGTCTAAGGAGAAGCCATCAGCAAACCAGGAAGATTCTGTTCTAGGTGAGTCATTTGGGCGCAAAACAGAAGCAGCATGGGATGGGTTTTGCCCCTGGGAACACTCTACAAGCATATCCATGTGGTTCTCACCTCCTTATCTAGGGGAATCTTAGTTTCCTAGGAGTAAGATAGGGATAAAGATAGTTCTTATAGTAACTGCACATAATATATCTGTCAAATGACAAAAACAATACAATTCAGTAATGCGTTTGATGTCCTTTGTTCCAGGGAGAAGAATCCAAGGATCGGAGAGTACAGTGCCTAACAAGCAATGGAGTACTCTTCCCGAGGGATTCTCGCAGGTAGCGACTTTGATAGACTCTTAGAAGAGGTAACACGGAAACAAGGCATGATTGGCTAGGAAGTGGGGAATTTCCTTATAAGGCTAGCAGGTCCTATTTTCTAGGGTAAGGTGAGCCAACGAAAGCTGAGCTGGACGATTGTGATTGGTGTATGTTAAGTTTGACCTGTGGTTCCCATAAGTGCATAAACTTAGGCTTGGATTCGTGACGTAAGCTGGGCCACTGGAACATACCGTATCTTAGTTCTATGGTGAAAGTGAATGCTCCTGGCACAGTGCCTGGTACAAAGTAGGTGCTCAGTAAAGTCCAACCCCTCTTGCCTAGTTCCTCGGCCTCGGCCAGCCGCTAGACCCCGCCCACAACCACCACCACCACGGGCGGCCCCCCCCCCCGCCGCGCCCGCCGGGGGGGGGGGGGGAAAGAGTGAGGGTTGGTGTAAGGGCTATTCTCTGTGCCCCCTGATAAAGTGAACACTCCGGTGTGCAAACAGCCCATCCCCTCAGGAGACAGTGGGAGCCTCTATGATGACAATTTCACAGCCAGCCCTGGAAGTCACTCTGATTATAGGCTGTCACAGGAATACCTTTAAAAACCTGTTCAGCCTTTTGGTAAAGTACATACTTGTCATGCTTGCCCCAAATGGCATCACCTCCTTGAAGGAGATGTTATTTTTGAGGCCATCCTGCAAAAGTTCAGGTTGTCATGAATTTACGAATGGTGGATAAGAGAGGGATGCCTGCCGGTCAGAATACCCTAAAACTGCTATCCACGTAGTTGGCTAATAATTTGATTTTAGTCCTTAATGGTCTACTAGCGTAGCCATTTCTCAAGTCTCCAGCACTAGAGCCCAGGGGAATCACACCTAATTCATCTCCTTATTCCTAAAGCCCCAAGCACAATGGCCCCCTACTTAGTAGGCGCTTAGTGATTGCTTATTAAATGGAATATAGCACAGCAGGAGATGACCCTCTCGACATTCACAGGCTGTTTCTTCCCAGGACGGACAGGAAGCACAGTCTGTTGAGACTGCAGGGTTATAAAGCAAGAGGAAGCAACATTTGCTCAGCTCACAGAAGCAGCAGCACAAATGGCCAATAACCATATGAAAAGAGGTCCAGCCTCACTTATTATCTGGGAAATGCCAATTAAAATCATAACAAGATACCGTTTTTTTTCCCACCCATTAGATTAGCAAAATATTGATGTTGGCAAAGGTGGAAGTCTTCTCATACCCTGTTTATGGGCACACAAATGGCACTGCCCTTTTTGGAAGGCAGTTTGGCAGGTTCGATAAAACGCAAAACACACATTCCCTTTGACCTAGCATTCCTCTTTCTAGGTGTCTTAGAGGAACACAGATGCACAAAGAGGCATGACCAAGGATGTTCGCTGCTGCAACGCGTATGTAGTAAGATACTATAAACAACACAAATGCCTGCCACTCAGAGAACGGTTGAGTAAAATCGTGGCAATCCATATGCTGGGATAGAACAGTGATTACGTGGCGAGATTGTTGAGACTTATTGTAAGTGAAAAACCAAGCTGTAAAACAAAACTACAATGTGGTTCCATTTATGTAAAAAAGGAAGAGAAACAAAAGCAACTGTGAAGTAAAATTATATATTTATACACACAGAGATGGATAGAAAAAATCATGTCGTATATACACCAAACTCACAACACCAAGCACCTCTGCTGGAGGAATTAGAATCACGGGGGAGTTGTGAGTTTTTCGCGACAAGAATGCATTTGTGTAATACTTACGTCATTTAAAATCATTTAGAAAAGTATCAAGCTCCTGTTATACGCTAGCCCTGCCCTAGGAGCTTTAAATGTTAAGGATTATTTTATTAACCCACACCAGTTCTGAGATTAGAATTATTGACTCATTCAGCAAACCTTTCCCCAGTCTCCCCTGAGTGCCACCCCTGGGGACAGAGGTGCCCAGAGTGCCTGCATCTACCCAGCTCGGGTTGGGGAGAGGCGGAAAGCAAGCTGGGCAAGAGCCGCTCTCGTGCATACGAGATACACCCAGGAGCTCGGGGCACATCCAAGGCCAGCTACAACCAAGGGCTCTCAGCCTGGTGAGGTTAAAAGTGACGCCTAAGGTCCCACATCCCATAAGTGGCCAGGTGGCATTCGAACTCCCCTCCAAAGGCACCCTTCCCTTCAGGAACATAAAAGCTTTGCCACCTGTTGGGGGGCCCAGGGGGAGGGGATGGGGAACTGCCTGATATAGGCGGGAGAGGGGAGGTCTCTATGTGAACCACAGATTATTTGTTATCATCACTATTGAATATGTATTAAGCATCTAATAAGTGTAAAGGTGCATGAGTCCCTCCCTTCAGGATGGGAGCCAGGAAAGAGACCAGATCCTAGATCAGCAGGACATGGTGTCCTTGCCTTGACATAATTTAGAATCGGGCCGGGGTGAAGAGAGTACCCTTCATCACGCAGCTACAAGGGAGTCCTGAAACCACACAAACTGGAACCGTGGGAGTCCTCGGCCCCCCCGGCCAGACGACCGTCCCCGCTGCTTGAGCAGCCCTCTGCACCTCTTCTGCCTCACGGTGGTGGGGACATCCAATGAAGTGACACATGTGGGAAGACCTTCCTAAACCCACCATACTCCCCTGGGTCACTGCGTTCTGTTAATCATTAGAAAGAGGAGCTAGGACTTGCCCTCCTCTGGGAGGAGGAATGCCTCACCTCTGCCCTCCCTGCTGCCAGGGCCTGGGCCAGCTCCGCCAGGGCAGGGAAGGTTCTCATCGGCTCCAGCACAGCGGAGGCCCGGCAGAAATAGCGGGAGCATGGAGTGCAGAAGAATCAGGGCACCACCTTACCCGTGGGAGCCTAATCACACGGGTCCTCCTGCCCCATGCTGTCCTCCAGGTACACCTGTCAGCACCTCCGAGAAACCATATGGAAACCAAGGGCTTGGGGCCTCAAGGCAGAAATCCAAGGGCTTGAGCTCCCTAGAGGTGTCCCACATTCACCAATGTCTCAACTGCTTGGCCAACCAGCAGGTATATATTGAGCCTATTCTTATCCAATATCAGGCTGGGCATGATGGGGGAAGACAGGATTAACACACGAGAAATAGTGAAAAGTACCCTACGAAATATAACTGAGTGCTTCATCCAAAAACATTAGCAGTAAGGGCAATGGGGTGCAGAGAAGGGAGGAGGTCAGTGTGAACTGGAGAAATCCTAGAGAGCCTTGTGGACTCAGTCCTGCAGGGCATAGAAAGGAAAGCACAGCGGGGACAAAGGGGAGAAAGAAGGGGCACAGCAAAATCTAAAGGGGGACTGGTCCTTCTTAGAGGGCCTTCCTCTTAGAGAGTGGCAGTGAAACGGGGTGGGGTGATTGTGAGGTCCCAGTGAGAGATGATGCCTTGAGAAACAGCCAGGGCATTTCTAGCACAGATGAGGGAGACAATGGGGAGCCATTGTAGGTTGTATAGCAGGGCCCAGTCAGGATTCAAGCGGAGCTTAACCCTTGAAAGGATTAGTAAGGAAGTGACTATGTGATAGGACAGACAGAAAATGACAGACAGCTTCCCACCTTCAACCAGAATTCCTACCTCAGTCTCAGGGAAGGAGCACATGTCTCATTTTCCTCACCCGCTTATTTTAAATTTCTTTCATTTTGTGATATTCTAAGCCTTCTTTAAAAAAAAAAAAAAAAAAAAAAATTGGAGGTAGAGGAAAGCCTGGGGAGGTAGGTAATCTCAGATGGAAAAGGAAAGAGTAAACCTCAGTCAGTAACGGGATTGATAGAGGAGTATTTTGAGGGAAGCAGGCCCCACAGGTTGGGGCATGTGGACCAGCGAGGGGGCAGGTGCAGACTGGGGTCTGGTGGGAGCCCCAAAACAAGACACACAGTCCTCAAGCCCTACATCCTGTGTTTCTTCACCAACTTCCGTTCCTGATCCTGAAAAGGCCATGTTGCCTGGTGCCCGGAACCTCTGCATATGCCGTATCCCTCCTTCTGCAATGCCCTTTTTCCCCTTCCCTAAATTCTAGTCCATTCTTTAGAAGCCAAAAGCCACCTCTTGCTGATGCATGGATGATCCAGGCAGAACCGCTCTAAGCCCTTTGGGTGATGCTCTTCCCGAGGTGCCCTAAACCCTTGTCCTATCTTGGGGTAACTAGGAATCTTCTAGGCTTCTGGTACCCCCAATATCTCATACAGTGCTGAGACATGGAGGGTTCTGGTAGCTCAAAAATGGTGCCCTGCGGGAAGTTTTAAAGAGCAGGTGTCACCTTCTGAGGTTAGGAAGAGCCGGCTGGGCCTTCAGGTGACACTGCCTGGGAAACAGCTGGAACTGTGGTTTTAGGAGGGCACCTAGTAGGATCTAGGAGAGCACATAAGGGGTAAGTGGATCAAAACTGGCAGGAGGCAGGGGCGGGCAGAGATCTGGGGATGCCATAGTTAAGGGACAGAGGAGAATGCCAAGCAGATGCCACTGGAGGAAACAGGGAAGGATCCCAGGGCCAAGGTCAGGAAGGCCTAGCGAGGCAGTGTCGGAAGAAAGGGTCGGACGCCAGAGAACGAGGATGAGGCCGCAAGAGGAGGAAGGGTTTCTTTACCCCTGGGAAGCCACTCGGAAGACAGGCCTGCTGGTGACAGTTACTACCCTTTAGTCTGAAGGGAACCTGGCACTCTTGAGAGCTACCTGTGTTTCCCCAACATTCTTATTGCCCGCAGCTAGCTCTCTCCTAGCTCCCTGGCCGAGCCCAAGGGGGGCAGGGGTGGTGCTGTGGCCAGGCCTCAGCGGGCAGTAGGAAGCCCGAAGGGGGCCTGAGCTTGTAGCCAGCGCTTAAGTGCGGCCCCAGCCCCCTAGTTTGAGAATGAGGAGATCAGCAGTTCTAACACCTGTACTGGAAATCACGGAAGGCTTTATGACATCTTTAGTTATAGAATATGAATGAGGAACAGTTGAACTGGCAGAAGAACTACATTTTTTTTTAACCTTTTTTTTTTTTTTTTTTTTAACTAAGCTCTATACCCAATGTAGAGCTTGAACTCAAGACCCCAAGATCAAGAGTCAGGTACGCTATTAACTGAGCCAGCCAGGAGCCCAACGGATATGCTTTTGGGGCACATACCTCAAACATTTTAAATTAATTCAACTTTGTACGTGTTTCTGTAAATGCTCATTGATTGCCTTTGTTGGCTGGGGGTGGGGAAGCAGAGGCCAAAGGTTTAAGATTTACTAGAAAAGCTTTTGATGATGGTTGAAGCTGGGTGATAGGTACATGGGGGTTCGGCACATCACTCTCTCCGCTTTTGTGTATGCTACAAGACGTCCATGATAAAGTCTTGAAATTTTAGTGGAACACTTAAAATTAGGAGAAAATACACCTATTATCTTAATGTTTCCTGCAAGTTGAGAAAAGATCCCCTTTTCTATTGCAACTGAGGGCAGGCCCCCATACTGCTTCTTCAAGGGAGCACAGTTTGAGGACCACAGAGTTTATAGATTTACCAGGCCGAAAAGTCATCGTGTCCAAGCTTCTGGCCCCAGGGCTAAGGGAGAGCAGAAAAAAGCAAAGCCCCCCTCTGCTGGCCCCAGGGAACTGATTGGTGGGCACCTGACCAGATGGCAAGAACAGCCCAAGTTCCTGAAATTTCCAGTCCAAAGACCACACTGCGTGCTCAGGGTCAAGTGCTTCTCTCCTCTCCCAGACCTCAGACAGGCTGCCCCTTTTCCAGGCTCTTCCCGGAGAGAAATTTCTGCCTTCCTGGATCCCGAAGGAACTGGAAACAATCAAGTAGCCAAACCCCTACCTGTTCTGAACCTCTTCTAGAGCAAGCTCTCACACAATGTAAACGGGATAAGGCCTTTCTTTGTAGGCCATGTCCCAGATGGTGGCAATTCAAGGCATTTCTGCTCCAATCCTGGTGCCAGAGGTCAACAGCCTTCTCTCTACTAATCAGACAGGAAGGAGAGCAGCCCCACAAATCAGGCTTCATAGACTGGGGCCTCCCTGGTCTTGCAGTCTCCTCACCTCCTCTCTCGGCTGCAGCCTTCCATGGGCTGGCTCCCACCCCCCACGGAAGCTGCTCTTAGAAAAGTCGCTGGCCAACTCCAGGGCGTCAGATGCAATGAGCATGTCTCAGTGAATTCACCTTCCACAGGGCTAGGCAAACACTCTCGGGAAAGCCTTCTCCTTTCTGAGTCATGGCTCTTCTCCCCTCGGCTACCCCCCAAGCCCCTCGTCAGTCCCTGCAGCCTGCCAGTCCTGCTCTCTACACGGCCCATAAATAGTGGGGTTTTGTGGCTGCGATCCTGGGACTTTGTCTCTTCTCTCTCCCTGTCCCTGGGTGAGCTCATCAGCTTCCCTGGACTTAAACACTAGCTCCTGCTCTTAACGCCCTCTCACCTTTGCATCTGGAGCCCAGACCTCCCTGCCCCCCAGGCTCCAGGCACCTCCACATCTCAGACTGAAGTCAGAATTCCCGCCGGTCTCAAACCTGCCCCTCCGCTAGCCATCCCCATGTGAGGACATGGCCCAACCATCACTG